TGGGCATGCAAAGGATACACATTTCCATGGAGAACAAGGAAGTCGTGTGCTGGAGGACTGTCTTTTTCATATGAGACTCAAGAAAATACGCAGGCGCTCTTGAAGAAAAGGGTCAGCACATGGGAAGAAAAAATGAACTTCGGGCACTCGTGTGAGGAGCAGGAACAAATGCATTTGAATTAAGTTAAAAATCCTTTATTTAAAAAAAATTGACACGCCTCCACAAGTGTTCAGCAAAGGAGAAAAAAACAAAAAGGCCCCCCATTGTAATCCATTGTTATCACCCACCTGTATTCACTTAGTAATCAGGATGGGTGACATCCCTTACCAAGCTTTTAAAATGTGTTGCTTGACTCCTGTCGACCCTTATGCACCTTGACGAAGACCTCAGGGTTGAAACTGGTTGCTGTTTTAATGGAAGCAGCCATGTTTTTTGGACAAAAACTTAATTCAAATGCATTTGTTCCTGCTCCACGCATGAGTGTCTGAAGTTCATTTTTTCTTCCCAGATCCACATTTCCATATTAGTAAACAATCTGTAAAAAAAAAAAAAAAAATACTGACCATAGACTGCAAAAATAATGGATGTTGCTCAAGTGATGTCACCCATTGGTTTGTGGTCCCCTGTTTTGAAATCTCAAGCTTGGCATTTTGGCCATCAACATCTTGGATTTTGGAGGCAGAAGTGACCATATTTGGGTGAGAGGTGGAGGCTGTAAATGTGTGGGAGGTGGATCTGTCTGAGAAGCTGAGGGCACTATCAGCAGACGGCCTGTCCCTCAAAGTAGCCTGCCATTGATTATGCGAAAACTTAAAGTCTTAAAAATGTAAACAGGTGAGTAGAAATTAGGTATAGAGACCAAAACCAGACTGCAAACATGTTTATTTCTGCTGTAAAGTTGAACATTTTAACATGGCTGTCTATGAGGATTGACCGGCTTCTGGAGCCAGCCTCAAGTGCCCGTTAAGTTTTTGGCACCACCATGTTGGCCTCATTTTTCAGCCCTGGAGGTTGCTGCCTGACACTGACATGTGAGTTTAAAAAGTTGATTACAAAAGTTTGCAACCATAACAGTCATGTGAAGAAAAAATAACAATCACATTGGGTCAAAACAACCCACTGCCTTAGGTACTGGGTAAATGAACCCAGTATTGTGTTGGTGTTTTACTGGCCCAGTGGTTTTTAGTGTGTGAGATTATTTTGGTTAGAATTATGGAGTTTGCAAATGGTTATTCAGAATGCTTCCAACTTTTGAGACGATATGTCGACGATATTTGATTATATCTGCCCTCATGTGACAGCTTCATGGGAGTTTAAGATGCAGAGTTACTCTCCACTGAAACTCTCATTTCTCCTTTCTGTTTTATTGAACAATGGAGTGACATGTGTGCGGACAAATTATAATTTCCACATATACAGTGTGTGATTACGACATCTTTAAGAGGTTGTGTCATGCTCACTGTTATGTTTATTGGAATTCCAACTGGCACTACTCTTCCTGTGGCCGTTATTCAAAGAAAATGCAATCACCACGTAGTGCACTTACACCACTGTACACACAGTAAATGTATTATTTTTCCCTCATCAGCACAGCGGACCAATTAGAGCACTGACTTCTCACTCTGACCCAAATGTCACCTTGTCTAGGAAGAAGCTTACAACATGACTGTTCATCCGACAATACGCGAAAGCTCCAGTGGTCGGTTACTGTTGAAGGTCAGTTGCACTTCTGGCAGAGCTCATTGTGTGTAGTGGGAAAGCCCAGTAACCATGTGGGCTTTTTAAAAATTTCAGTGCTGCACATCTTGACAGACGTTCCTGTAGACCTGACCACACCAGGTTATTCATTAAAGCAATCTGACTGTTTCCTAAAACTGTATATGCAAGGACATTTGTAGCCTAATACTTATCAAATCAAATCAAGTTTATCTATATAGCACATTTAAAAACAAGTGCAGCTGACCAAAGTGATGTACAAATTCAAAGAATGACACACAAATATATAGCAATATAACATGTACACAAATATAAAACAGAATAAGAATGATTACATATGTGAAAAGATTATAAAATACTCAAATATTAAAACCACTAACAGCAACCAAAGGCAATTGAAAACATGTTCGCCTTAAGATTTGTCTTATAAGTGTCAATGGAGGGGAAGCATTTGACTGACAGTTGAAGGCTATTCTAAAGTTTTGGTGCAGCTACTGCAAAGGCACGATCTCCCTTACCCTCTCGCCTCGATTGTGGTACAGTTAAAAGACATTGTGAACACATTATGAACACGCAAAATAATTCACTCCACAATATAAAGGTTTAATACACATCTTTAGTAAATCAGTTGGACTTCAGAGACACCAAAAATATTGTGTCAGTGGTGAAACATTTGCCCTTAAAAACTGCCACAAAAACTTGAATCAATCAGAAATGAAGGACAAGAGCGGAGCTTTAATGATCATACAATGTGCCAATAAACATGACACACTTCTTCTTCAATTTCACCTAAAGTAGGCCATATAACAAAGTGTCTCCTCTTCAGGGAGGCCAGTAAACCTGCCTGTTTCTGTGGTGATGGAGCTGAACATATCTGTGAACAGAAAAATATTTCACTTTCAGTCAAAAGGAATACCTCAACCACAGAACTACCATTTATATATCAGTTACTCACCACGTGTCATGATTTCATGGAGAAAACTTTTTCTTACATGCCTCCATGGTGAAGAAGGAATCCAAAAAAGGTGAACATTCTTCACAAGTCAAGGTAATGGTGTCCAAAACTCCAGCAGAGTTTGCATCCATTTACAAACTCTCACACAACTCGTGCAGTGTAATCCAAGTCTCATTTATCCAGTTGTATGCTCAGTACTTCCCAAACACATATGCTAAAGGCTCTGCACTGTAGTTCATGAATATGTTGTAAGCTACACCCAGTATTAAATCAGTCTCTACACAAACACCACAATCAACACTCTCAGGCCTCTGTCATTGAATGTAAACTCCGTGCAAGACAAGAAGTCTTGTTGTTATCTTGATTCTGGTTTAGAATTTTATAAACAAATCAACTCTGCCGTCAGCACGAGATTAGATCACTTGCTGAATTGAAATCATTCCTGCTCTGCTGAGAATTTGGAGAACATAGTTTTTCTTATCTCATCTACTTGCAAATCAGACAGTCTTGTCTCACCTGCAGCTGGTTCAGAATGCAAGAGAGAGAAGAGTGACCATATCTCTGCTGTACTGACCTGTGAAGTAGGGAAGAAGAGGAGTTTGAGATTATTTTATTTGTCTTTAAAGCCCTGCATGGACTTCCACCAGGTTAAATCTCTGCACTCCTCATTGTCTACTCCACCTCCAGACCTCTAGTTTGCAACTCACTATTAGAGCTCCCCCTCCTGATATCTTTAAAACCCATCTGAGGACCCATTTCTTTTCTTTAGTCTTTTTAAATTGGTCATGATGAAGAGATAACTGGTCTCACACTTTCTATTTGTTTGTTTTTATTTATGTGTTCTCTGTGCAATGCTGTGTGTTTTCATGATTGTATCCAGAATCATGTATTCTACATCTTTATTGATGTTTTTTTTTTTATCTTTATAATTCTGCCCATGTGTTTTTATTTGAATGTAATCATCATATCAAAATCTCATCTCTCTGTAACACACTTGGGTCAACATTTGTTGTTTTTAAATCGCTCTGTAAATAATTTACTTGACTTTATCTTTTATTAAAATAAAAAAAAGTTCGAAACATGCTATTTTCACTTCAACAAATGACTGTCAGTATGACAAGGTGAGGACCTAAACTAAATCAATTCAGTTTTGACATTTCAGATTTGTGGAGAGAAAAAAAAGCAGCAAATATAATTAAACAAATGGGGGCGCCACAGTGAGAGGAAAATTGGGACTGATAACCCAGCGTACCAATGGGAGGGGGGCCCTCGAAAAGCCTGGGATGAAAAGTTCGGTTTTGTTTGCATTTTATTATTGTTTGTTAATGGGGTCTCATTTATAATTATATATATCTAGGATCCATACTGTATGTATGTACGTATACGGATAAAAGCAAAAAATGGGAGAAAAAATATTTGACAATTTCTACACTCAGGCTTCCACCTCACCGTCTGCATCCTCATCCCTTCTCTAAAATGTTCGTAAGCATGGGTCAAAGTTTCTCCCTTCAAGTCTGTTTTTATAGATTACAGCTTTGGCGTTGGAAGCGGCGTACGCGTCTTTTTGTGTGTACGCAGTGTTTATAAATGAGACCCCGGTCCACTTGTGTTGGAGAGGAAGAGACCTTTGTGGATAATTCAGCTTATGGTAAAAAAAACACCCTCCTGAATAATTAACACTGAAGGAATGCTAACTGAGAGAAGTTTCAGCTGGTTGCAATGTACAGTCCTCACCACTAGATGCCACTAAATCTGCCAAATCTTACACACCAGACCTTTAAACTGCTCTTTTCACACGCTTTAAAATGGATTTTGAGTATCTGTTTCACTCTTGTAAGGCAGTGTGCTCAAATCAAGAGCTGAGAAAGGGAAATGAGGGTTCCAAAAAAGAAAAAAAGAGACAGCAAACTGAGTTCATTTCAAAACTTGTGTGAGAGAGATATGGATCAAGACAGGAGGGGCAGGGGGCCCAGGCAGAATTTGGTGCTACGCCTCTGCAAATAAATCCAGAGATGTATTTGGGACCCTTTACTAAAAATATGAGCAGCCCAGGGGCGGTGCAGCAGCTTCATTTCATCTCTAAATGTGTCTGTGCAACATACTTCAGTGACCTATTTCTATTCACCAGTAATGTTTTCTCAGTCAGCAGTCGTTGCTCCCTGATAAATGCGATGAAGATTAATAAATATATAGATAAATAAAGTCACACCCACCCACCCATTTCCCACCACTGTCAGCTTCCTCAAATAACTGAGAGGTTTTTCCAGCCGCACTACACTCAGATTGCAATTCCCCGACATCTGCACCACAGTATCAGGTGCGGCTCATTCGCTGCGGGGCTTCATGGGAGGAGTTTTTTACAGCCAGGTCACACCCCCTGCACTATAGCGCTCCGTACATAGAAAAAAAAATACTAAGGAGCGCAAAGCCCGGCCGTCACACTGCTAGAAAAACATGATCCAGAGAAGAGCGACTCCTGCGCTTCAACACTTGAGACAACAATTTCACTGCGAATAATTTCAAACCCCACAGACCATCGCTGAGTCTGCTCCGTGCTCAACTATTCTCCTCTCCATTCTCTCTTTCATTTTTTTTTTTTTTATCTTTCCTGCGCTGGATCTTTCGTGCCAGAAAATGTGCGTGGAGAGCGATGGATGCGAGATTGAAGGCTGCAGCAGTTCGGATGAGGTGCGCACGCTCTCGGGCAGCATGAGCCCAGCGCTGAAATCCAACCCGGACCTTCACCCGTGCAAACCGGGGCAGAAATTCCGCGCGGCGCTGCTCAGATGCCGCTCACCGGCTGCTGCCGCCGGTATCCTCAGTTTTGGGAACGTCCTCAATTACATGGATAGATACACTGTAGCCGGTAAGAGACCTGACTTCTCCCTTTCTGTTAGAGCTGTGTTAGAATAATGTTATTTTGTCTGAGGGGCTCCAGCAAACACAGCAGAACAGATTTCTCTCTTTGCTGGAGTGATTGCGCTAATTGCCTGTGAGCTGGTGTAGAGCAGCCTGCACACCTCATCTGAGACGGGCGGAACAATGGGGCTTGCCCGAGCGCAGTGGACAATCTGCTGAAACCACAAGGCTGGTGTGTGTTTGCATGGGTTCAGACTGAGTGTGTTGTGGTCAAATCAGATAGATGTCTTCGCTATCACTCGAGGAAACTGCTTGACAGTAATGATTTTAACCCGGAGCTGGCAGATAATTGCAGATCGATCAATTAAGGCGATCAACTCTCCATCCGCGAACCTGGCTGCATGCTTTTGCAGTGTGTGTGTGTGTGTGTGTGTGTGTGTGTGTGTGTGTGTGTGTGTGCTACTGCAAAATGAGGGAGAGGAAGAGGGAGTGTATCAGTGTGAAGAATCAGTCATTAGTTCTTCGCCTCTTTCTGGGAGCCATTTAGTCCAACAGCATCTCACAGGCTGTATTTTGTGCGGGCAGGCAGCTCGCTGTGTGATGCTGTGTGTGATGAAGCCATGTGGTGTTCATCCCCCTCAAGTGTCCGCATTTTTCTCACTATAGCTCCAGATCCAGGGCATCATTATTAAAGCTGAACACTGTGTGCACATGGGAATTAAGCTTGTGTCTTAGAGTGTATTCTGCATTTGTTGTGCAATTATGGAACTGATGATGATGATGATGATGATGCAAAGTTTAGTAGGATAAATTGCAGATTTTGAAGAGTGACAGAAAAATGTAGGCAGAATCAAATTATTAAAATTGTCCAGTGTCTCCTCTCACACCTTGTTTCTATCCAGGTATCAAGAAGCTGCTTTTGCACAATCATTTTGTAAATTATTAAGGATTCCTTATTAATGATTCTGTGCACATTAAAGTGTTACACCAGACCAAGCTGACATTTTATCCTCAGCTTGGTTTTTTCAGTACTTGCCTACTGGATTTACTTATCAAGCCTTTGACTGTGGCACTGAATGAGTTAAAATTATTGCTGCAGCATGGAGAATGGAGGGAAGCGTGTTCACGGGGAGACTCTGTACAAAGAGATGCTTCCTGGTTAAAGTGCAAGTTTCTATTGATACTCTGACATACTTAAAGTCACACAACACGGGCTGCCACAGACGATTATTTCTTGATTAATCAATTACTTTGGTTTATAAGATGTTGATTGGTGTTTCCAAAAGCCTACACATGTCTAATATATTCAGTTTATCATCATAGAGGAGCAAAGAAACAGGAAGATATTCACATTTAAGACACTGAAATCAGAGAATTTTGACTTTTTTTCCCTTAAAAAATTGCTCACACCAATCAATCAAAATCAGATTAGTTACCGATTAATTCAACACACAACAAAAGTCCACTTGCAAATCTTGCATTTTGTTTTTTTATGTCTTCACGCATAATTTGCAACATAATTATCTGCTATTAAGATTCTGTAATTGATAAATCAGGGGGAAAATGATGGGCTTCACTCCCCTGGTAGAAAGAAGGAGTGGCATATTCAAGCAGAACAATGTGTACACTTAATAGCCACATGCCTATGGCTCATCACCCTGAGGGCTTCAGGTCTGGTCTGTTAAGAGTCAAGCTACAAACCCTCAGGCACCTGAATGATCATCACGGCGGGACGGCTTTAGCCGCTCGACCTGCAACCAAGAATGTGTTGATGTGACATATCTAATCTCAGCATCTTTAAGCACCACTCAGTCACAGCAGATAGCTTTAAAAGCCTCATCCCCAGTCGAGGATGCTTCGGTCTCCCTCTACTGTGGCAATTTGTACTCCTGTGTCCTCATACCTCCTCATGCTTTGATCAGAGGAAACCCCTCATTAAGGGGCTCAAAAACAACTCGATCATCTCCATCATGATCCCGCCACTATTGTCTCTATCTCGTCTCTATCTCGTATTGCAAAGCAGAAAATCCTCTGCAAAGCCGTTAACTTCACCGGACCTACGAGGGCTTGCTGTGCTGTGACAGGAGGAAGAGAGATGGGGAGAAAGTGGGGGAAAAGGGAGGAGGAAGGGAGCGCAGGATGATGGGGTTGGGGAGGGGAGGGTGGTTGCAGCAGCCTGGGTGAACCCTCGTGGGGAGAGGCTGTGCTCGGTGCATGTGGCGCAGAGAGAGGGGTCCCTTCCCCTCTCCTCCGTGGCACCTAAACGCTGCTTTTGCATTATGCATGGGCAGCATGTGCGTCGGACCCTCGCGCAGATTGAGGACCGGCGACCATGTGCATCAGACACAACTAATACATACAGCATGAGCTGATCTGCTGTTCTCCCTCCTGCTTTCCTCAAGCCATTCTGTCCTCTTCTGCTGTGTGAGCTGTGTTGCAGTAATAGATGGTGGAAGCAGTGCATCTGTGTTGAAAGCACAGAGGGTGCTGTGTGTGTGTAGAGCTGTATTATGTGCTTTTTAATTAGATATAATGGGGGATTTTGGTTATTGTAAAACTGTAAACAACACATTTATCTTAAATGTTGTCTTTTCCTGATGCAATTTCTGATCTTATTACATTGTTCTAAGAAAAATTAAGTATTGATTTCCATTTCCACCTCCTTCTTCCATCTGCACCATCAGGACTCAATCTCCCATTAGCTCTCTGTCTCTTTTTCTTCTTCACTCTAATCACTCTTTGCTTTCAGCCTCTCCGGCTTTCTTGTTCTCTTTCTTCAGCAGCAGGTACCCAAAGCGCATCCCAACTCATAGATCTTAATGTCAATTAAACAAGCATGAGCACACACACACACACACATTCGAAAAGACTCTCCCCACCATTTCAAGAGGGGGCTGAATGAGAGAGGGGAGTTGCGAGGTGAGGGGAGGGGCTGGCTGCTGCAGTGGAAGGCAGTGGAAGGGGAGTGGACGCAGAATGCAGGCTGAGCCCAAGCGATGCCATTCCCCCTCCGACGTCAAAAGGTCTTTGTACCAACAGCCGTGACTGTAGTGTGTGTGGATCACTAAAGCATTGTCACAGAGACAGAGGGTGACCATTCCAGACACCGGGGCTATTCTGCTCCACAACAATGATGGGAAAATTGCACCCACTAATGCAAAGACTCAGATCTTTCTGTTAATCCCCAGTGTCAGAGGTGAAGCCACACACATGCACATAAAAAAACACACCACCTACAAACTGCTTTTTATGATTTCCAACACTTGACTTCTCCAAGATGATGGTGAGAACCACAGAAGAAGGAAGAAGCCACAATGTCTTTTCGTTTTTACGAGAGGTTGTTTTGTTCCGGATTTGATAGATGCACCGCCAATATGTGTTTTACAAGACTTGAATTTTTAATGCCAGCAGTATGCGAAGAGGGACAGCTTCAAAACAAAGTCATTACATGAGACTTAAGATGCTGTATATTGGAGAGAATGTTTGGGCTCTAGAATGAGTGGAAAACAAACTTAGTATTGATTGTGTCGTCCTTTAGATTTCAATAGTGTGTGTGGGAATGAAATTTAGTGTAATGCAAGCAAATGAGTACATTTCTGTTTTTCCATCCCTTAAAGGTTCAGTGTGCAGGATTATGGGGGATATATTGACAGGAATGGATAATAATAGAATGTTTTATTTAGTGTATAAAAAGTGTATAATAATTTTAGTAACCTTGGAATGAGCCGTTTATATCCACATGGGGAGCGGGCTCTTGTCCAGGAAGTCCACCATGTTGCACCACCATGTTGCCCAGAATGGACAAAGCAAACACTGGCTCACATTTTAAGGGTTTAAATCACCTGGTCCATTTGTGTTGGAGAGGAAGAGACCTCTGCGGATAATTTGGTTGATGGTAAAAACCTCCTGAGCAATTCACACTGAAGGATTTCTAACCAGAAGAAGTTTCAGCTGGTTGCAATATGCGATCCTCACCACTAGATGCCACTAAATCCCCCTAAACCTTACACACTGGACCTTTAAACTGCTCTTTACACCCCCTTTAAAACACATTTTGAGTATCTGTTTCACTCTTGTAATGTGGTGTGTTCAACTCGGGATCATCACAGGACGACAGACAGATTAAATTTCTGCAATTTCCATGTTTCTATGATGTGGAACTGGCAAAAGAGACAGCCATCTGTTTTTTGTCAAGCACACTTATGGGCCAAAACCAAGTGTGAACAGGCTACTATTAAGTTTCAAGGGTGCTGAAGAGAATGAGGGTGTGAGAGACAGCACAGCAGTCAGCTACAAACCGTGTGCAGTAAGTTGGACTTCAGACTCAGCTGTTTAGTCGGTAGGTCATCCCTGACCTGGAGTGCTCCTTTAGAAGCCTGTGCTTGTTTTACGACTGTCTGTGATGCAGACAAATGGGGAGCGTCTGGGACATTTCAGGGTGTCCCTATGACTGCTTGCTGCATTTCAGGAAAGCAGCTTGCAGGGAATTGAGATGAAGACCTTCCAAGATTGGAGTGGAGGCCTGATGATTTACGATGCACCGGTTGGGTCACTTGTGTCTGGCCTTTTGGAAGTAGCCATTTAAACCACAGACACTTATATTCCATTTGCTTTTTAGAGTGCATAAGAGCTCTGAGATTTAGAGGGCCACCATGTTTAATTTAATTTAAGGTGGCTTTGGAACCTTAAATCCCAGTGTCGGTCTCCCTGTAGTCCCATAGCAGACAGTCCAAGCTCCTCGACAGCTTATCATAAAGAGGGGATTAAGCGTTTTTTTCAGAGAATATGAGGATATGTGAGGCAGACACTCAGCACTTTAAGTTATTTGCTTGGTTAAGTAAGTAAACCCTGGTGTGTGTGTTAAATCTAGCCAACCCCCCTGTGTGCACCCAGGGCCACCCCCTTCTCAGCCAGCAATGGGGAGATTTGGGGAGTGGTAACTAACTGACTGCAGCCTAATCTGTGGTGAACGGAAATGTTGGGGAGCTGAAGATTAGCGTTTCTTCC